TTCATGTTTTATCCAACAAATAACTTGGACACAAAAAAGACACAAATTGCACATAAAAGCTTATTTATTGAAATTAAAACACGTAAACTGCAATTCGATGTCATTTGACAATAGTATATTATAAGTCTTCCTTTCCTCCTATTCTGAAAATAATTCCGTTCAAATTGCAAATCTGTTAAAATCCGTAATTGTCCAATGTATTTTTCCCATTAAAATGCCTACTGTAACTCCCCGTTAAAGCTTGTGTCGATCGAAGTAGTAATGGCGCATAGGCTTTCGTTAAGGAAAAGGAGGTCAACAACGACAGCAATATTTCTTCTTCCATTTTGTGAGAATGCCTTCTTCATGAAAGAAAGTCCCCCTCAAATGTCTCCTCACTCCCTTCAGTTTGCTTTGCAAATCGACAAATGTGTCTGGAAAGACGGCGTTCTATACAAAATATTTCCCCGATTGAATCCTATTGCACTAGCCGGTTTGTATAGTAATACATTGGGACTGCACTGTGTCTATGAGCGGCTGCTACTGCTGCCTTGGTTTCTATGAGCTCCTAATGGCCGCTCGTCTTCATCCACTAACATGGAGAATATGGCTCCTTCTCTTTGTGTCAACGCACAACCATGCGATAGAGGGCAGAGCGACCGCGGCGACCACTCTACTTCAACCCCCGATTTAAACCTTTTAACATAATCGGAAAAATATTGCAATAGCATCGTTGGAATCACGAAAGATTGGTCTTTCTTTTCACGTCGTTACATTTGATAGTTACCGGTTTGTTTTTCGAGAAAACCCGGTTAGAAAAAGTTGATCTGAACTGCGCCTCTGTCACTAGCCTCGCTGCCTTTCCTCCTATGCGAATACAGTCAGCCATTACAGTAAAAGCGCAGATCGTGAGGTAATTTTTTCACCGTCTTCTCGGGAGAATTATAGCAAACAATCATATGGACTTGTATACTTTGAAACATTCTTTCTTTTTCTCATGTTTTTGTATTTTTTTATGTTTGCATTGCATATCCCGTACGCTCTCCAGTCTTCACATGACAGCCGTTCAGCTTCGCAATGCACTGCAATGGCTAGCAAACGGTGAGTTTTCTACCATTGTCGCTAACGGTGTCGTCCACTAGACATTCCTGAATTTTTACTCGATATCCACCGTTCAATTTGACTCCATTTTATAACAATGACACAATAGTAATATACAAAATTATTTATATGCTACAAAATTGACGATTATCGTCGAATTCAGTCAAGGTTAATATTTTGTTCTCGTTTTTTTTAAAGAGCGTCTGGACCACACCAGGCAGGGCACTGTAACGTTACCTGCTTTGCGCCGGCTATTTTTTTTGTTTTTTTGACGTTTCATCGCAATAAAAATCATTTTCAAACAGTAAGATATAATGTATTCAATCATAGCAAACACATAAGTGAGATATCTAGAATTGTTATCATACTTTTCATCATTAAGAACACTTAGAATTTTCGCGTGTGATACTTACCTAGGGACTATCGCTGGATCTGAATGCTCTGCAATGGCTGTATGTGAGGAACACAGGCGATACGCAGTGTCTTCAGTCTTCAGCTCTCTAACATTACTCTCGACGGGGCTCTCACCCCATTGGCCAGCGCCCGGTCTAACGCTGCTCTGATTGGACGGGGGCTTTTCATTGTCCTAATAGAAGACGAGGTTCGATTGGCTACCTTTTGTGAAACGTCACTGAAGTTTTCTGAGGCGCGTGGATACAAAAATATTCCAGTCCTAGCATGCTGGAGCTGGTAGTAGTGTAGTGTGTTTGCCATAGTATTGAATTCACTACGTTGAGCACAGTGTACAGTAGGCAAGTTAAATGAATGAGAAAACGTGGAGCGCTTGTAGGCAGTGAACGGACAAGCTGTAAGACGTTGTGCGATTGTGTTGGGTGGGCTGCACACCTCTTCCTCCACCACCTCCATTGTGCATTATCCTCAATATACTTAGCTTATTTGCAAATTATGACTTTGAAAAATGCATAAAATAAACATCGCACGTTCAAGTGTAACACGCAGCGGACGCTTTTTTTCATTTATACGCACTTAAGACATTTTATAGCATTACGACAGGATTTAGAATGAAAACACAATACCAATTGGGTTAATGACCTGCCTTTTAATTACATTATATACCGTAATTTTCATTTGTCAGACAATTATATAAGTAATGTCACTATACCGTAACCACACAGTGTTATATTAGTCTTTTACAACAAGAATACGTAATAATACTTTTAGCAAGCACTTAATATATGTCTGTATTTGAAGTCCCTAATAGGCTAATACAAAAAATATATAAACAGGCATAAAATCATGGTGAAAGCATTTAATATGTAGACTAGGACCCAAAGCTTTTCTTTTTTTCAGATTTATATGTTTTTGGGGGGTAATTTGAATGGGCTTACAGTACTCATTGGCAAATGATAGTGCTCATCTGCAGGTAAAACACAACCTTATCAAGATCAAAGAGTTACATAGTACACGCCAACGTTTTTGAATAGATAATTTTATAGTTAAAAGTATGGCATTTGAGAGTAATTTCAGGTCGACATATATATTTGTTTTATAATTAGACTGATTTAAATATTGCTTGCAGGCCGGTGTTGTGCAATATTTAAATATTTCAACTTGCTGATAAACCCATAGATATAACAGTGAGACTCCGCTCTCTACCCCAGACACATGTTCTGTGCAATGCAATGGTTAAAACCCCTACATTCAACATACTATAACAATATAGTTAGATTTGAAAAAGACAATATTGAGGTAAAATTAATTTTAATATTTATTTTGATCTGATGTTGCATTGTTCTGGACCACATTAATATAAACATATTTTACTTTATAAAACACGGTCCTACTTTTTGATAATTTAATACAAATTAGAGTACAGAATACCCTGTAAACTATACTGTACCCTACATCCACCTGTTTTTCTGTCATATGTAGACAACAGCACTCTAAAACACTGTTTTGTTGTGCAGCTGTTAAACAATGTATCTCATTAGCTCTGCCAAAAGATGTCCAGATGTCATGTGATTATGTGTTTGCTGATTTGTCTGACCAACAACAGATGGTATTAGGTTGCATATATATTAAACGTTCTTCCCACATTTAGGCTCTTTAGAAACTAACTGTAATGAGGTGAATGACCCTGTAAAATCACTCTATAGCGCCACCATCAGACAAAGATTAGAATTTGTTTAATTAGTGTTTTGCCCATTAGTATCATTATGCTATCTCAATATACACTTCACTTATTATATTATTGTATATAAAATGGTTATGTAGTCATTTTGCATAGTTAATTGTGATTACATATTTTAACTGGATTCAACCCTTACCCTTCCAAAAGGTACAATTCTATGTGTGAACTTGTGACCATGAGCTTTAGCACCACCATAGTTACAAAATATAAAATATAACATAAAATGAGACGAGAAAAAAATGGCAACCATTGACCAAGCTACTGTACACCTTTCAGGATGATGATTTCAGACTTTGAAAAGGCCTTCTTCAAGATGACTTGCCGATTTTGTCTAAAAATGAGGTAATGAAATTACCTGAGTTTATATTGGTCTTGTCTGTGTGCGTGTTATAATATGGTGGTGGGGGTGGGGTGCCAGAAAAAAAGAGAATGCCCATGTTCTGTTGCAAAACATGCATATGCCCACTGAAGGTGAAATAATCATGCTTATTAAACAATTAACTGTTTCTAAATGCAATTTCTGAGGAAATATGCTTTTCCTTAGCAGCTAATATAGAAACAAAAGAAAAATGGCTGACACAGACTTTTTTCTTATCCTTGAATTAAGAATGGGAAGGGTGAAGTGGTTCCAAATGCCAATCACAACCCAGACTCAGGCCACATGTCTGTGCTGCTGCCTCCCTGTCTGTGTCTCATTTTGCATCAGGAGATGCCGCGGTAGAAAGCTATAGCCTGCTCATGAGGCTAGGAGGCGGCCGGTTTATGCATTTTAATGAGCACTCCCTGGGAAAGATATGCAAATTCATTTTGTCATCAAGAGGAAAATAGAGGACAGGAAAGTAGCAGATACAGGAGGGGCTTAAGGGAAGAGGGCACATGCAAAAGGGGGGGTTGGGTGCAGGGAGACATGTGTGCACACGTCTGTGAATGTGTACGTTGGAGAGTAGAGGAGCAGGAGGCGGTGTGAGATTTGGGCTGTATTAAAGCACCAGATTGAGGGACATATGTAACCCCCAGCCCCCACTTACCTCTCATATAAATAATAAATTCACCTTTAGACCAAATCAGTTAACTACAGAATGGGTGAAGAAGAAATCAAATAATCAATATGAAATATCTTTAAAAATAGAATTGACTCAGGGGACTTACAGTACTGCTTCAAGTATATTTGACAAATCAGAAGAGACAATCAGGCGTATATCCGTTTTAATATTGAAAGTCCATCCATCATGTATTACACAATTAATGTAAAAGGATGTTTGTTCTTCTGTTTTATCAGTTTAAAAATATAACCGTTTTGCCACTACTACTACTACTACTACTACTATTACTAGGCTACTACTATCAGTTTTAGTGATTGAAAAATAAATTAATAACAATAATAATAATAGTAATAATAATTCAATATAAAAATTGCTTGTTAAAAAGTAAGAATTGTTTCTAAGCAGTTTATAGTTTCCCCTCAAAAACATGCCATTCCACATGTGTATATCCCTGTAAAAGAATGACTTGGAAGACAAAAACAATGATAACCAAGGCCTAATACTCATAAGCAAAAAAGAGCATGCTATTAAATAACGTGATTCAATTCAGCGTATATTTTATTACGTGCATGTTCTCGCATGGATTAGTCCCGATTTTATGGGCAGTGTCAACATACAGTACAAGCAGGAACAATAACTTGAACAGAGGCTACTGCAGTTCACCTGAACTACCAAGAAGGGGGCCAGCGGAACCTTTGTCTGTAAGAGGGGGAAGACAAAGGCCGCTGCACAACCGCCCAACGAGCGGAATAAGAACGTTTGTAATACGAACTGGCACAAGGGTGCACATGGACTCTTTGTGGATTAATAAATGCGGCTCTGCGTGGAGGAATTTCGCCGACCTACATCGTTATATTGGATATAATTTAAATCTGGTGTCGGTGCGTATATTTATTCATTCACAAATACTGAAAATGAGACTTTAGTGCCTGAATTAATGCCCGGCTCTTGGCTAATATGTTAGCATGCTAGCAGCAAGGTGCAGAGGCTGATGGTTTGGTAACTGCGTGGATTGTTAACTTTAATGTTAGGATTTTAAATAGAGTTTACACCTCTACAGTAGGTTTGACAGGTTTAAAAATCAAGCCATTTAAGGATTGATCGAATCGCCTAGCTAATTAGAATTGACTGTTTTGCATCTTCCTAATTAGTTTGGCTCCTAAAAGGAGTTAACGTGTTCTCTAAAGGCCGCATTTGCCATGGGAAATGCTCATTTACTCAGTGTGTCAACTTAACAGTTTCCCATGTATATTACAATATCTTTATATTGTTTTAAAGGTTAACACTCATGTGTTAGGTCATAGTGGACCGCTGGTCCCACGTGTGCCAGCAAACATCTATCTTAGGTTAGTTTTTGTGAAGACAGTCAGTGAAACAGTTTTTTATCCTGTATTATATCCCGTAATGATCGTTGTTGTTAGCAAAAACGACTACACCTAATTCTGGATTATTTAAATGTTGACTGTGGACACGTTAAGTAAGTAATCATTAGTAATAGTAAGTAATATACAAAAGTTCAAATTATTATTAATATCATATTAGGAAATCAAGGAATTCTAAATACAGTTACACTCATACAGTAAATTAAATACCTGACAGATCATAAGGCTTTATGACATGGTTGCGATCCTGTCAAACCAGTATTGCCACAAAGCTTTTGCTCATTGTTTTGCACCATACAGTCAATATAACTTGAAACATTCAAGTGAATGGTATTGCTGTATTAACAATATACCATTATCTAACACATCTATATAGTCTTATGGTCAATTTTGTTCACACACCTCATGTATTGAGTAACATTGCATTATGTGGTGCTGTATTGTTCTCCCCAGCTCCTCAGGACTGGAACCTGGTTGCAGTGATATGGTGTTATCTTTTGAATGGCATCGGACAGCTATGGATCAGAAGAGCAGCAGTGGCTTGCCAATGACTGGTGAAGACACTGGTTTGGGGGCTTTGGCCTTACCACTGGTGGGGTATTTGGGAAAAGTCAGTAGAGCTCTTGTTTTCCTCTAACAGTTGTCACTTGCGCAAAGCTGAATTATATTTGAAAAAAATACTGTGACTTTGCAGTACCAATCCAAAACATAAAAAGGAAATCTTTAGTAAAAGGCGAAAGATTTTTGGGTAGGCTTGAAGCCTATTATTTATGTTTTTATAAGAAACTGTGTACTACATGATTTTGTTAAAATTATCTATTTAGAAAAATTATCTTATCTACAATTCAATCATAGACCTATTTAAATGTAACTTCATGTATACTTCATTCCATTAATAATGAGTGAAAATGTGAAGCCAAAATCTAGAGTGAAAAAAAAAGAAATCACTAAAAACTGAACATTTCTGTCAGCAGTTTTACTCTTGCTTGTATGCGTCACCCCTGCAAGGTAAATCAAATACAAAATTCTAATTTTCTTTTGTTAGTTTAATGCATGTACAGATGTGTATATAAATGTGATTGGACGAATACAATGAAAGCTGCTGACAGTGGTGGAGAAAGATGCTGAAATATGACAGTGAAGTGGGTAGGTAGAAATCCATTCATCTGATACACATGTATAAAGTTTTAAAAACATTTTTGCATGAATTGCAAAAAAATAGATGTAAGTTTTACACAGCTTTGCATGTTCTTTAAAACTGTTTGATAAGTTGTGTTTTAATATGCTACAGTGAAACAATCATCCTTTTTTGTGGCATGTCGTATTAATGCCATGTTTCTGTGATCTTAATGATCTTTTTGAAGGTTCAGGAAAGAGCTGCTTCACTTAAGTATTGTCCATGGTGTACCTCGAAGGGCTCGACCTATGCTCTGCGCTCTTATCGCATCAACCTCCAGGAGTCCATCACACTCTGCACAAACCCACAGGTAAGTCTTAGTTCATCACAAACATCCAGCTGAACAGCCATGTTTTATGCTTTTCTTTCAAGCAGCCATGTTAAAATCTTTCTGTTTTCCTTTCTTCATAGTGCCTTTTCCCCCTGGTCAGCCGCTCCTTGGAGGATGTTTTGGCCAGCTTGGTTCCTGTGGAGCCCTCAGTTGGGAACAAGAGAAAAAAAGAAGAAGAAGAAGGAGAGTTGATTGGTCCAGTACACAAACGCCTGCGACTGAATGAATCCGACAGTCTTGGACCACAAAGCATTAAGGACGACCTCATGAAAGAAGCCGAGCAAGGTGCTTTAAACTGTGTCATTAATGGCCAACATGCAGCACCAAAGGCAGGCGATGAAAGAGTTAATGGATATAAGGATTCTCCAGTTGTAGAGACACCGCTTCAGGAGTCATTACAATATGAAGATGATATTTTGGACCAGGAACCAGAGAATGCCACTTGTACGGATGTTTCTGCTTCTGCTACATGTTTGACTCCAGCTGGACTCCTGCAGTGCCCATCAGTAGCCGCGTTGACCTCTGATGCGACTGAGGTTGCACTTTCTCATCATCGTGTTTCTCCTGATGTGTCAGAGGATGACTTCTGTCAGGAGAACAGTCCTCCTGAGGCGCTGAACAGACGCTGCAGTCTGGACTCCGATCAGTCCTCTTTTGCAATTGATTCAAATGGAATCAATACTCCATCACCTCCGCACAATGAACAGACAGCCAGGACTGCAAAGAAACCATTGACTACAGACAGCATCACATGTAAGGACTTGGACAGCATTAAGTCCAAAACGGAGTGTTTGTCCCCTACCAGGATAACCACGCAGTCAGACGAGCTTGTATCTGCTCCGAATCATCTTTTCTGGAATAACTGTGACAACCTGTGTTGGCTGGACTCAATGCTTATTGCTTTGGTGAGCTGTAAGAGCTTGAGAAGGAATAAACCCAAAGATGAGCCTCAGCAGTCTTCTGTCTGGCAGCTGATGAGAGGATATGAAGACGTTTGTGCTGCCACCCAACTCCATCAACAGACTGACAGAGGTAGGTTGAGCACATCCCTGATCTCTATTGTATCTTCTGCTACTGCAATACAAAATAGCTGCTTGTTCTAAAACAGCACATTCAATATTACATCACATGCCTTTAGGGTTTTTTCTAGGAGAGGTTAGAAGCCAAAAATGGCGCATTAAGGTGTTTTATTTGTTTATATTAATAATTTAATTGTAGATTTGTTTTAATGGAGTGCATACATATAAGTGTGTTACTCCTAAGAGACAATAAACTGTATTTCAGAGATGGTTGATTAAAGAAATACCAATACAGAAGATGAAAGTCCTTAATTGTTCCTTGTGTGAATCTCTGAGAAGCAAATCAAACTTCTTGAATGTGCAATGTCAAGCCAGGTGTACATGTACAGAAATCTCTCCAAATGTACACTAAATGTTTTCAATTTGATAGGTTTTTTACTTGGGTGTAAAGTAGCGCTACCATCAATGAAAAATGGCAAATTCTTTCAACTAGAAAGTCAATTGAGTTAAATTACACGTGATACTTTTTATTTTTATATATAGATATAATGGAGTGCATTACTCAGAATACCTTTTTATTCATCCCACAGAGGGGACATTTGCATTTTCTACAGCAAGAAAGAGCCAAAGACAGCTGAATATTAACTAAGAAGCATGCATAAAAAAAAATATATATATATATTAAAGATTACAAAAATTTCACAATTTACCAAATACACATCTGTAAACGTTTTGAAGATATAATATATAATGTGTGTTATCTATCTAGATGGTGACGTGCGGGTGCCATATCATGTGCTGCAAAAGGCCAATGCAGAACTACACACTCTCAGGATGTCCATCTTCAAAATGCTGCAGCCCAAGCTGCACTGCAAGCTGGGTAAGCTCAGTCACTGAAGACAAACCAGTGCTGAAAGGAATTGAAAATTGTTGATGAAGTAATGTTTTTGGACATTCTTGGTTAATGTCTTTCTTTCGATCCACATTGGTGCAGATTCAGGCCATGGCAGCCAAAAAACCGGGTGTGTCGATATGAGGAGATATTAGCTCTCAGGATTATATTTAGAAATACATTCTGAATGGATGTGTCATTCCCGAGGTTTATTTGCACAGTGCACAAGTCCTGGTTAGCATACCTTTTTAGTATGTGATGGAAAAAGCAACAATTGTTGTGCACTACTTCATCATAGTCATCATTCATACTTTTCTAGCTTAATTTTCTCTCAACTTGGTTTGAAGACTGTGCAATGTAGCAAAGATACAATTTCACACTGGCTACTTCACTGCACATACATTGGTTGACAATACAAAGGTTAACAATACAATTAGACGATGCTAGGCCAAGGCTACGTTTTGGATACAAGAAGTGTATGAAAATAAAGTAGTAAAATATTTCTTGGTTTGGGCCGGTGTTTCTGGTGCTGCCAGACATGATGGGAAATCTTTCTCAGTTCAGAAACAATATGCAAATAGTGCAAAGCTACTGTGAGCATGGGGGAGATGTCTGAGCAAATGTTTTTCAAACTCGACAACACTTTGCTCCCAGGGCCCCTCAAGCCGTCTGTTCATGAATATTAGATTTCATACTGCCTTTTTTTTTGCCAACCAGATCACACGAAACTGTGTCTCAGGGCTTCTTAACATTTAACAAACTATGAATGTGTCATACCCACTTAACGGGAAGAAACTCAGCTAACTGACGATACGAACAATTTTTACCAAAACAAACACCAAGTCTCACAAAAAGTGTCTAAATGTGCCCTTAGCGGAAACGGGCTAATGCTATTTCTCTCACAAAAACGATCTTTTATACTTCATACTATCTGCACAAACGACATATCATCTGAAAGCTGAAATTCCACAGATTCCATTGGTATAAGCCTCATCACTGCACGACCAGAACTCACTGAGCGAGCAGCCAGAACAGAGCAAGGAAACATCAGTTTTCAAAACCATAACAATAATTACGTCTTACCTTTGCTGTTTTGTGATCAAAAGGCCAGAGATATGGCAAATCCACCCAAATGACTCCAGAAGTGGTTTTTCTTTTGCTAAACCTCTCTAAAAAGGTCAAATGTCACTTGTTTTGCATCAATCTTGATACAGGGTACTTATTATGTTATAGTTTGGATTCCTAAAGCTTTTACATGTTGATGTATAAAAGACATGACAAAGTGGATTTTGCATAATAGGTTTTTAAGAAAGCCTTTTTGGTGTGACCTGTCATCACCATTAATATCTGAACAATATGTTTATTATTCAACTGTTAACAAGAGCAGGTTCTTCATAGGTCCCACCCCTTTATGCTGCTCTTAAGTACACCAGATTGAGGCATTCAACTTTAAACGGTAAAATGTGTGATGTTTTCAATGCAATGATTGTTTTAAGATCTTGTCGTCTCATATTGACCCAAAAATAATCGGGATAATGATTTTTGCCCCGAGAGTATAACCACAGCTTCCGTCAGCACGCCCCCTGTGATGATGCTCTAACGGCTGCATGTTTGTGCCTGCAGGTCAGGAGGAGACTCCGGTGTTCGCCCTACCGCTGCTCCTGAAGACGGACTGTTGGGCGGAGCCTCTCTTCCAGTCCACCTTTCACTGGGAGTTCAAGTGCAGCGAATGCAAAACTGCCACAAAAGAAAGGTAGATGATGATCAGATACTACATGATTTACTTGATAGTGATGTTTTTATGTCCGTAGAGATGTGTGTGTGTGTGTAGTTTGTGAAGTTTAAGCTATTTATTTTTTGCTAATGCGTTGACAAAATCTGTCAATTATGACATTTTGGACCAAAATAGATGCAAATTGACTAAGCAGAGGAGGCATACAACTGCAAGGTGGTTATCCCGTTAATAGTCACATACTTAATGCATTTTTAATAATTAATTAGTTAATTTATTTAGTCCATATTATACCTGAAAACATTGCAAAAGGCCTATCCGTTTACCAGAGCCCAGGAGATTGCTTGTTATATTGGACTAGAGGTAGTAAGGCGTTAAATAAGTATGAAAGAAAAAAAATGGTAAAGCCAATCACCAAATTATAAATATGAAACAAGTGAACGTTACCTATTTGTCAACATCACATTGTTAGAAATGTATAATTATTCTCTAATGCAAGCAAACTGAACACATTTTTAATCGCTTTCTTTTTGTGTTTCTCAGGGTTATAAAAACTCTTCCCACCTTCACAAAGGTTTTGCCTGATTGGCGCCCTCTTGATGCAGTCCACTTGGCCCCGTGCAATGTGTGCTGCCAGAAGAACCAGAGAAGGACTTTGATACTAGAGAGGTAATAATGATGTCAGAAATCAGACTACCATTTGCAAAGTAATTACATCTACTGTTCAAACCTTATTATTCTGTAGCACAGGGGTGTATTGTTTACCATGTCAATAAAGAATGCCTTTTCTAACTCCCATGATTATAAGGCAAGGCAAGTTTATTTATATAGCCCCTTTCAACACAAGGCAATTCAAAATGCTTTACAAAAATGAAAGACATTAACCTATTAAGCCCCATGCCCCCGCCCCCCCGAAACAATATTCACGAAACTGTCTCTCAGGGCTTCTTAACATTTAACAACCTATTAATGTGTCATACCCACTTAACGAGAAGAAACTCAGCTAACTGACGATATGAACCATTTTTACCGAAACAAAATACAACTCTAATGCCTAGCATCTGAATTAGCACTAAGCGAAAGAGTGCTAACGCACTTAGCACATAACTCACGGTAGAAATATTTTTATCGGATCTGCACAAACAAGATATCATGAAACCTGAGATTCCACAGAATGGTATAAGTAACATCACTGTGCGACCAAAACTCGCGGCAACAAAACCAGACAAAACACAACTTCACTTTACAGAGCTAAAACAGCAAATACGTCTTACCTTTGCTGTTTTCTGATCAAAAGTTGTGTTCAATGGCATTGAAACGCATAAAAACGCAGCTGAAGGTTAATCCAATGTCTCTGTGTCACTTTGAAATGATTACTGATAATCCATCATAACATTTATGTCAAAAACTGAGTATTCATATAGAGTATGAGAGTTGTAACCCAGCTTCCGTTTTTGGGCATGTTGGCTGCGCATCACTCTCATTCACCAATGGTAATGTTTAGATGGATTTTAGGAACTTCCCCTCGGTTCTATTGGCTCTAACGGTTCAAAAGAGGTGTCAATCACCAAAATCGATCAATGGGTTCCAAAGATATGGCAAATCCACCCAAATGACCCCAGAAGTGGGTTTCTTTTTCTAAACCTCTCTATAAAGGTAAAATGTCTTGCTTTACATCAATCTTGATACAGGGTACTTATTATATGTTAAAGCTTTTAGTCCCCGATCCCATCATTCAAGGGCAGTGTCGGGCAAGTTACTTTTAAAAGTAACTACACTGAACAAAAATATAAATGCAACACTTTTGTTTTTGCTCCCATTTTTCATGAGATGAACTCAAAGATCTAAAACATTTTCTATATACACAAAATAACCATTTCTCTCAAATATTGTTCACAAATCTGAAAAAATCTGTGATAGTGAGCACTTCTCCTTTGCCGAGATAATCCATCCCACCTCACAGGTGTGGCATATCAAGATGCTGATTAGACAGCATGATTATTGCACAGGTGTGCCTTAGGCTGGCCACAATAAAAGGCCACTCTGAAACGTGCAGTTTTGCTTTATTGGGGGGGTCCGAAAACCCTAGGGTTAAACCCTAACCCTAACCCTAACATGTCACCCATTGAGCATGTTTGGGATGCTCTGGATCGGCGTATACGACAGCGTGTTCCAGTTCCTGCCAATATCCAGCAACTTTGCACAGCCTCAGGGTCTGGGGGGGTCCGAAAACCAGTCAGTATCTGGTGTGACCACCATTTGCCTCACGCAGTGCAACACATCTCCTTCGCATAGAGTTGATCAGGTTGTTGATTGTGGCCTGTGGAATGTTGGTCCACTCCT